GCGGCGCGGCAGCCGAGCGGGGAAGAGCCGAGCCGACCGAGTGAAGCCGGCTGCGAAGAAGCCGAACCGACCGAACCGCGGGCACCCTTGGTCGGTCGGTCGGTGCAAGATTGCGCCAAAGGTTGCTCCTCGACGAGGAGCACGTCGACGCGCGCGAGGGCCCCACCTGCGGCAGCTGACAATGGCCTCGCCGACAAGGCGCCTACACTTACGCACATTCGCCATAAATTCAAAACGATGACATGCAAAATCCATATATGTGGGGGATGGGGTCGGTTTCCCACTGTTCACTCGTATCCTGGCCGTGCAGAACTAAACCCGAGAGAAAGACTGCGCTGCTCATCAATGATCGCTGCTGACCCGCTTACTCACACGACTCAGCCACTGTTCTGCGGATTCCTCCTTCCGCTCGCCGTCCCGCGCCAGAATCAAGGAGAGGAAGACAAAACGGCATCCATTGTCGGCGCCCTGCGCGGATTTTTTTGATCGGCGCTGGAAACCCCTCCCTGGCGGACGGAGCGCGACAGGGGCGGCGCCGCAGGCGCCGCCAGGGGGACACAGCGCCGATCCCAGAAATTCGCGCGGACGGCGCCGATCCCAGAAATTCGCGCGGAGCTCCGACAGTATATCTATGGCGTTGGTTCTTCCTCAACGTAAACCAATCTATGCTCAACGGAGGTATACTAGCACGAACGACTCACAAGAGGGAGGATTCTAATGCCATTGCTCCAGCCTGTAGCGGAAGGACTTGCCCAGCGGCTCAAACGCGGAGAGAAGCGCAGCTGCAAGTTGGAGGTGACTGGATCACAAGACCACCGACGACAACGCACAAAAGGTACAATGGGCCGCGAACGTCGTACGCTCGAACTGGCAGCACGAGGCCCAATGGAGGAGGAAGAGGATGCGGTGAGGAAACAGACGCTGGCCAGTCTTGGTCGTCGGACGGGGCCCTCGCCGGCACGGCCGGCCGCGGCCCGAGAAGCAGAAAGAGCCAGGGGCTGGTCCCTGGCCGCGGTTGGGTCCCTGAGGTCGGGCTTCCGCGCGCGGCAGCGGCAAAGGCGGACGCCAAGGCGGTCGGTCAGCCAGCGGGCCGCGCTGGGCAGAGGCACAACAGACAAGAGGCGATTCGCCCCTGGCGGCGCCCCGATACGAGATTCGCCCATGGCGACGCTTGAAGTTGCCAATTCCGCCGGTGAAATGCGACAATAACACGCGTTAGTTGTTCCGAAAAACAAAAAAAAACTTCATCTCCAAGTGGGAAAGAAGAGGACTGGCACACGCGCGGCAAAAAGGAAGCCGAGGAGCGGCGTCGTTGGCTTAGACCTCGGCGTCCACCACGGCTGCTGCTCGGATGCCCGGGCCGTCAGAAGCTGCCGGGCACGAGGGAACCGATCCCGCGGATGGGGCCGATAAAACTACGAGCCCGTCTCATCACTGTCAAGCAGTCAAGCAACAGCATACTTGGCAGGACATCAAAACTACGAATCATTCACAAGCTCGCACACAGATGAGTATACATGCATATAAGTGTGCACTTCGTATATACGTGAACACCTATGATATGTGTATATCTGTATGTACACATATACCTTTGTAACTATACATATTATATATACATGTGTACAAGCATACATACATACATACATACATACATACATACATACATACATGCATGCATGCATGCAGACAGACAGACAGACAGACAGACAGACAGACAGACAGACAGATAGACAGACAGACAGACATACACGCATGCATGCTTGCATGCATGCATACAGACATACGAGAGAGCGTGATCCACCGCCGCTTTACTGTGGAAAATTGCCAACCTTTTCCTCTGGAACCCGGGGGTCGCCCCCCCCCCCCCCTCCGAAAATCCCCCCCCCCCCTGCTGGAACCCCTCCCCCCCCCCCCCCTCCCCCGGCAAAACCCCCCCTCCCCTAACCCCTCCCCCCCCCCCCCCCCCTCGAAAACCATACCTTCGAACCTCCCCCCCCCCCCCCCCCCTCCGGATCCGGAAAACCGGGGGGGGGTCACTACCGGTTCGAACCCCCCCCCCCTCCCCCCCCCCCCCCCCCCCCCCCTACTACTCACCGCCAGCAAACGACTCCCGGTCCCCACCACCGTCCGCATCACATCCCCCACTGGTGTTCCCAGCACCACTGTCCTCACCACCGCTGTCCCCACTGGTTCCACCACCGCCCCTACTGTCCCCACCAGTGGCCCCACCACTGTCGCACTGTCCCCGCTGTCCCCAGAACTGTTCCCACCACGGTTCCACTCTCCCCACTGTCTCCACGGCCCCAACCACTGCCCGACTATCCCCACTGTCCCCACTGTCCCACTGACTCCTCCGCTGTCCCACTGAGCTGTCCCACTGTTCCCACCACTGTCCCCACTGTGTACCTCTGTCCCATTGTCCCACCGCCGTCCTCGCCACCGCCTTCACCACTGTCCCCACCACCATTGTACCCTCCACTGTCCCACTGTTTCCACCTCATTCCCATTGTCCCCACACCACTGTCCCCACCACCACCGTCACCACCACTGTCCACTGTCCCCCCCTGTTCCCACCATTGTCCCCACCACTGTCCCCACCACTACCGTCCCCACCACTGTCCCACTGTCCCACTGTCCCCACCACTGTCCCGCTATCCCCTCACCACTGTCCCCACCAACACCGTCCCCACCACTGTCCGCACCCCCACTCGGTTTTCGAGGGGGGGGGGGGTTCGAACCGGCAGTGACCCCCCCCGGTTTTCCGGATCCGGGGGTGGGGGGGGGGGGGGGGGGTTCGAACCGGTAGTGACCCCCCCCCCTTTCATGATGAACTGGGGTGGGGGGGGGAGGGGTTCGAACCGGTAGTGACCCCCCCCGGTTTTCCGGAGGGGGGGGGGAGGGGTTCGAACCGGTAGTGACCCCCCCCGGTTTTCCGCCAGCAGCGGTAGAACACGCTCTTTCATACATACATACATACAGAACATCGCGCGCTTCGCGCGCGCTCAGTTCTAGCTAGGCTGGATGGTCGAAGTCTCAGGGCTTCCTGTTGGGATTCCGGGAGCCCAGGGCTGAAAATGTTCGTTCGGCCCCCGCCTGGACCGCTGAGCTCTTGGGGGCCTCTTCCCGTCCTTCTGGTTGCTGCTTGAGGCCGCTGGGGGCCTCTTGGGGGCCTCTTGGGCTCTCTTGGTGGCCTCTTAGGGGCCTCCTCGGAGCATCCTGGACTGCTTCTTGAATCGTCATGGGACCTTTTTGGCATGTCTTCGGGGGCCCACTTATAAACAGTTTTGAAGCCTTTGGGTCCCGTGGGCCGTCTTGGGGCATCTTGGGGCTTGATTTTTCAGTTCGCGTTCCCTCTCTTGGGCCCCTCTTGGGGCCTTCTTGGGACCCTCTTGCGCAGTCTTGGGCGGCTCTGGGGCCGTCTCGGGGCTCTCTTGGGCCGTCTTGGGGCCCTCTTGGGGGCCTCTTGGGGCCTCTTGGGGGCCTCTTGGGGCCTTCCCGGGAGCCGCTTGGGGCCTCTTGAGGGCATCTTGGGGCGGAGAGCTTGATTTTTCAGTTCGCGTTCCCTCTCTTGGGCCCCTCTTGGGGCCTTCTTGGGACCCTCTTGCGCAGTCTTGGGCGGCTCTGGGGCTCTCTTGGGCCGTCTTGGGGCCCTCTTGGGGCCTCTTGGGGCCTCTTGGGAGCCGCTTGGGGCCTCTTGAGGGCATCTT